GACTACTTTTATGCACAATGGAAATAATAGTAATTTTAATACGCCCTGTATGATATGGAGTCGATTTCTTGGTGTTATTTGAATATTTCGAGTTTGTCCAAACTATCATCAAAATATCAACTTTTCATGAATTGAGAATACTGATGAACTTAATTTCAATTAAAGCTGTGTTTTGGACCATATTTAACACAATTATTTTTTATCTCGAAAACAGATAGAGATAGGTATAGGACATTATTAACAAAAAAGTATTAAAATACCAGAGCGATTCCAAAAATGTATTAATATACGGGGTGTTCCATAAAAAAAAAAAAGTTGCTAGGACTTTTTGATGGAAGTGGCAACGCCGCAATGCTGAAAATATTTCAGATCGATAGGACAGGTAAGGAAATGTAAGAGGTGAAATTTTCAGAAAAATCATGCTTTGCGTTTTCCAGAAACGTCTAACCTACCACCACGTGACCGTGAGTCACGCTGTATAAATATATTTGAGAGCAGAATGTCACAATGTCAGTCGACAATTCAACTTTATTTTCACTAAAGTAGTTGATGTGAGTAGTAGAGCTATGTGGTTCCCAGGTCACTTCAAGGTCATCTGAAGCGGCCTTAGAGAATCCACATATGGATTCTTGGCCAAGAAACCGGATGCGTTGGAAAAAAATTTCAGTTGTAGTTGGTGCAATGATACCGATAGTGTTTGTGTGTGTGTGTGTGTGTGTGTGTTGCATGGATGTGGCATGGGCTGCAGTATTTTTTGTGTCGGATGATGCGGGGGTGTGTCGAAGGATCACTGTGGGGTGAATTGGGGATGTTTGAAGTTGATTTTTTTTGGATGGCGTAGGACGCCAGCTTGGGGAAAGTGTATTATTGGTTGTAACGTCACACACACACACGTCAATCACGACCGTCAGTGGTCGTGGTTGACGTGTGTGAAATATGGCGGAGGCGGTCTCCTGTAATGTTCTTAGTCAAATGAGATTTTTTATTCCTAACAAAAATGCAACTCTGCAATTACTCATCATGGAGTATCAAGTCCTGGATATTAAAAGACACTTCTCCGATTTCAACGGAATTCCATGAATGTTCTTCTCCAAATAGCGGACGGTTTCTTTTTCGATTGTAGTCAAAATGGCAAAAAACCGATCTAGATAGTGAGTTGTTTTGGATACTACCCACCATTAAAAACAAAACCCTGAGTATCGACGAAATCTATTCTGATGAATAAATATTCTTCTATATTTTGTGAAAGGAATTTCATTTTCAAATTGATTATAGAAATATATAGTTTTATTTGAAATTCATTATTAGGCAACCTTTAAATTATTTGAGGAATATTGATATAATTGTTCGTAATTTATATATAACAAACAAAAACACCCCAAAACNAAGTTTTGTGGGAGGTATGTTTATGAAACTACATTGTTACAGAGCCCTGAAGAAGAATTTAATTAAATTCGAAACTTTGGCGAGAAAACGATTGATTCTTTTAGAAAAAGAGAGAGTGGCTGCGAGCGGTAGTGATGATGAGTTTGCTGCCCCTCAACCAACTAAGAAGAGGGTGTCCGCCGCTAAGTCGACTCAGGTGGAGCCGAAGGTGAAACCAAAGCAGTCGGAGCTACGGAAATATATGAAAATATGAGATGAAAGGAATCCTTATCGGCAGCCGCCGATGACCTCGACCCTGTGGCGAGCCCCTTCTACGTTGGATACCTCCGTTCCAAAGTCCAAGACGGTAAAGACGAAAAAACAGCCACCGACGGCGTCGCAGATACCATCTACTGCATTAAACATTGAGCCAACTACTACCACGACATCTTTAGAGACCACAACCGGGCCACATAACCTACCAAAAGCCGGATCCATAGTACCTCCGCCTCCAATGCCTGTGCCAACTGTTCATGGGGCAACTTCCGGCTTACCCTCTGGCAGCGAAGTGGAGTTACCGAAACCACAGAGGAACTGCAACTTAGTCGACGACGTGTTCGAACTCGGCAGAATATGTCGAGAGAGGAAGACAAAGCTACTGGTGATCCGGGGCAGCGACGAGAGATTGGCAGAGATTACCACACGCAAGCGACGATTTGTGGTTCGACAGGAACAACTAGTCGAACGGAAAAGATGTTTGCTGGCTGAACTGGCAGAGGTGGAAACCAACATTGAAAGGGGAAGTCAGGACATCGTCGGAGTCAAAGAGGAGTACCGTGTTGAGGGTGACTCAACGAAACGGTACCGGCTCGAAGTCGCCTACATTAGCAACTGTGTGAAGGATCTCCAGAAGCGAATCAAGAAGGGAGTTGACGACATGGCGACATAATCAACATTTATTTCCCTTAATTTCAATTCGAAGACGATGACGATAGCTAAACACTCAAATTAGTTTGGCAGATATTGGAAGGTTAGAAGAAGCAGTTTGTATTCTTTGAATAAACAATGTGGAAAAAAATTCTTCGTCTTTCATTTCACATACGAGAAAAATTATAGAAAATTCAAGTTCATACAACTTTGATCATTGTAATTTTTCTTGTGAAATTGAAAATAAATGAGATAATTCCATTATAACACTACTTGGTGTATCTATTTTTTGTTGTTGAGTTCGAAACAAAATAATGTTAGTTTTCTGGACATTCAATATAAGTTTATTTTTTGCGAACCAATTACTTACTTCACTTATGAAATAATTTGCCTGTTGAGTTAAATCAAATAAGTTAGAACTAGTAACTAATAAATTTGTGTCATCCGTATATTTAGTAATGCTGCAAGATATATTAACAGGATGCTGCAATATTTTCGAGATGTTATTCATAAAGAGTACAAATAAAATTGGACCTGTTATACTGCCTTGAGGAACCCCAATGTTATTTGTTTTTACGTTAGATTTAAGTATCTTTCCATCAATTGATATTTTTACTATTTGTTGCCTATTTGTTGAGTATGATGTGAACCAATCTGATGCAGTTCCACGAATTCCATACCTTTCGGGTTTTTCAAGTAGATATTTATGATTGAGACAATCACAGGCTTTAGATAAATCCATCCAGCATAATGGCTGTCTCTACTGATTTTCCCTTGATGTATCCATGCTGAATATTATTAATTATTTTACACTTATTTAGGAAGTTCATTAATCGGTCGCACATCGCCATTTCAAACAATTTTGAAAAGTGTACAGGAGAAATTAGTGCGATTTTCTGGAAATATCCCAAATTTAAATGAATTGCTCATTATAAAGTATATTATACTACTGACTGGAGAGAGTATTTAACAATACTTGC